ATTTTAATAATAGAGGGAATTGGGTATGGGGTATAGGGATACTCTGCACTGCTTTTTCAATTTTTGTATAAATCTTAAACTGTTCTAAACATTAAAATCTATTAATAAGAAAAAAGCACCCTCTGTTTTAAGGATGTTATAATAAAGATCCTCAATATTCCCCTAAAGAGCATGAGATTGTCTTGAATATTATTAAATAATATGTAATTGAATCATGAAAGTGAAGTCAGCATAGCGCTGGCACAGGTGGATGCTCATTCACCAGTTCATTAAACAAATATATATTGAGTACCTACTATGAGATCATCTCTTCTAGCATGTACATAAAGTGTGTGTACATGGGGGGTAGAAGCAAATAAAATGCAATGCCACATTATAATGAGTGCTATAAAAATATACTAAACAGGGTAAGGGGCTAGAAAATGATGGGGAAGTTTCTGTTTTTCTAGGGCAGCTGGGAAGACCCCTGAGGAGAAAACCTGAAAGCACAGATCTGAAAAAAGTGAGGGAGCTAGTGTTGCGAGGATGTGAGCAAAGATCATTCCAGCACAGAAAACAAAAAGTGCTGTGGCAGGAATGGGCTCAGTGTATCTGAAGGCCATTGTGGCTCAAGTGGAGTTGAGTAAAGTGGGGAGTGATAGGAGTCAAGGTCAGAAAACTAAATGGGGTTGAGATCAGGCTAGGGCTTAAAAGGCCACACTAAGAAATTTAATTTGATTCTCAGTGTGATGAGAAATCTGTCACTGTAGGGCTTTTAACCAGCAAAGTGACCCAATGTAGTCTGCATATTTAAGTTTTTTCCAGCAGCTGCATGGAAATGGACTGTCAAGGGCATTAGAGTGGAAACATGCAAACCAGGTAACAGACTACTGCAGATGTCCAAGTGTAAAAGGATGGTGTTTAGGAGATGGGTGGTAACCATGAAAATGGTTGAAATGGTGGGAGTGGAGATATACTTTTGAGATAGAACCAATACAGTTTACTGAACAAGTACATGTAGAGGGTGAAAGAGAGTATTCATGGACCAATCAACAAAAATGTGATTAGAGCCAAGATTCATAGAACAGAATATTATAGATGGCACCAAGATTTAGAGACCTTTAATGTGCTTTGGGTCTATCAGCTAATTATAAGATAGCCACAAGCTTGGCATTTTGCTATGTAGATAGCATCATCCCTTTATTGAGACCTTTATTCAAGAGAGGACCCTCTGAGAAGACTTATCTCGACACCAAAGGGAACTGCTGGGAATGGTGTCTCTTGATGAGCAAGTATGCACACTTTCTCTTGTTGGGGCAGCAGGGGAGGCTGCCAGGTATAACATGTTACTGTATTGTCATCTTTTCTCCAGCCCCCAATGCACCACTCCATTCCAGTAACTCCATTCACCACTGTAGAGTGAGTGCCTGGCCCAGTATATATATGCAATAAACATTTGCTGAATGATTGTGGAATAAAACGTCACCGCAGCACCACAGAGCACAGAGGTAGCCTAAGTCTCCCTTAGAAATCATATTTTAAGAGAAAACAGCAATATCCAGACCAACACGGAAGAAAAAGAATAAAGTTCAGAACAGGGTTGAGGTTGAGTAACCGATAAGAGTTCTAGGCTAGAGCTAATAAACGAGAAACAGTGATTTAGCAAGAGACAGCACAAAGGGCTGAACAATAAATAGTCTTTGTTGGGATTTTGCAGCTAAACTTGATCTCATCACAGAATCATCAAATGTCAGAGCTGGAAGAGATCTTAGAAAACTTTTGGATCAATTCACTCATTTTACAGAGAGGAAATTAAGATAAAATGTTTTGGGGCTAGAACCCAATTCTCTGGACTCCAGATGCCAAAAAATATTTTTTATATGGCATGGATTGGTAGTTATATTAAACTTCCTTTTCCATATGTAGGTTCAAAGAGGAGTTCTAAAGTCTAAAGTTTATTCCCAAGTTAAATTCTCCTTTTAGAATTCAGTACCATGAAAAACAAATCATCTCTTTTGATAAACTTCTGTTATCATTCAGTGAAAATGAGGCAGCCCACATGCTTCCCTTTTTGACATGGCTGCCAGGAAGCTTAGAGCTAAATTTAACACTTAATCCTCATAACAATAGTGGCCTAAGTTTTTGACAAACAGTACTTATTTTCCCCTCCTCTTTATGTCTTTTCATTTATTTATAACTATTTCAATGGCCTTATTGTATATGTGTTTTTAACTCTAAGTCATCTCAAATTCTTTTTGGAAGTCAGCCAAGTATAAAACACCAATAAACCAAAGTAGAAAGATTTCATTTCTCTTGTGCACTAGAACTGCTGCTTACAGTGCGGTGTCTGTTTTCAGATCCTACCATTGACCTAAACTCTCAGACCTTACCTCCTGGCTTTATATTTATAGACGGGAGCGGCTACCACAGGATAGACTGCATACAAATGACTAGTTATAAAATTGTAGGGTTTGCCTGCTAACTAGGCAAATCCCTGGAAACTTCTCTGAAATGAAAACAAGATGGGGAAGGAGAGTGCTGTGTTTCTTGTGCTGACGTGGCAACACTTCACTGACAGCAGTACCCTGGGGGAGGCAAGCAGCCCAGTCCACAATAGTCAGCAGGAGGTGGACTGTGTCAGATCTAACTCCCCGATTTCTTCTGACTATTCCCCAGGTCTGAGAAATGTGATCCTGGAACCTTCATCTCTTCTGGGTTCTAGCCATTACGAGATTAAAACACTCGTTTTCTGAAAACTTGAGGCTTTCTTTTTCCTCCCTAAAATAAAATTCCTCCTAAACCACAAAAATGTAACCCAGGCAGGATTAGAAAAGCAATAAGAGAGTCCATGCAGAGATCTTTCCTCTAGCTCCCTTACTGTTTCGGAATCTTCTGTTGCCATTTCTGTCTAGTTAGTAAAAGAAACACTAATAAGTCCCAGAAAATGTCAACTTCTCCAGAGGACACTAGGCTTTCCTGTTTATGCATTTGAACTTGAGACTTCCTATGGCTCTTTTGTTTTTCAGTCTTCCCTGAGTATTTAAGTTTTGTTCTTTATTCCTATGGTATTAGCCATGATTTCCATGATAATCTAAGAGATAGGTTTTTTAAAAATGGCTTTCAGTGGTACTGCTGCTCATGAATAGTCCTTCCCTAAAACATCCATTTGATTCTGTTAATGGTTTCTTCCTAGTCAGAGACAATTTGTTCAGATAAGAGACAAGAAGATGCTGCCCCAATGTTCCCAAAACCTTGAAGAATGAGACAGTTGCAAAAATCTATGATGTTCATTTAGAAATATCTCAGAAAAAGTATGAAATGCAGGCGAGACTAGTGCATGACATCAACATAGCAGGTAAGAGCTCACTCAGCCTGGGCCTGGCTGGGTCTTTTATCTCTGTCTACCTCATGTTATTTGTGAACCTTGGACAGACTGCTAAACCCTGGGCTTTACTTTCCTCATATGTAAAACGGCAATAACATTAGTGCTTACTTCACAGAGCAGGCTCTCAAACTTTGGTGTATGTTAGGAAAAATGGAGGGCTTGTTAAAAAAAGATTACTGACCTCACCCCCAAATTTCCTGATTTAGAGGGTCGGAGGTGGTGCCTGAGAACCTGCATTTCAAACAAGGTTTAAGTGACACTGGTGCTGCTGGTTAAAGGCTACAATTTGAGAACTGCTATCACAGGGTTATGGTGCAGATGACATAGTTAATATATGTCAAGTGTTAACATGACTATTTTTATGTACTGCTGTTAGCACTGTGTCTGGTTAGCTATGTCAAATGGTGTCTGCTATTATTATCTTACAAATTGTCGCATCAACTTACAAATCTTAGTAAGCCTGCAGTTGAAACATAATATAATACATTTAAGAAACCTTAGTATATAGGAAGGAAAATCCTATTAAGTTCCTAACAGAAAATCCCTATTTTAAAGAGCATATATATTCATAAGAGGTTGCAAGTGGTTATAAATACTTAAAAGGAATTCTATAGATCTTTTTTTTTTTACCTAAAACTTTTCAGTACCCACCTGTACATTTATTATGAGGCAGAAGAGAAACAAAAGCTGACACAGCTACTTTTTGAGGTTTTTCTTTTAGTTACAGTAAAAGTGCCAAGACACATTTAGTTATGCTCAAAAAGAATTGTTCAATTCATTTCAAGTAATTAAGAAACTCAGCAAACACGGACCTTACAAGGGCAGTTAGAAACATCTACAGATTTAAAAGGGCAGACGAAACACAATGGCTAGAAGACAACGGGATTGTTAAAAAGCTCTCCACCACAGAGGAAATGAACGCAAATCCCTAACCTGCGGACATTCCAGCAACCCTAAGGACACAGATAAAACGCTCTGGTAAAAAGCTGTGGCATTAAGCTTTGCGTAGAGAAAGAGAATATCAAACATAATGTCGAACGTTAGATGTTTTCTCTATAGGGCTGAACCAGAACAAGAAACAGGGAAACCCCCACTGTGTCTTCTATACGCATCATTCCTTTCAAGAAGAAACTTTTTAATAAACTTATATAGGTCGAGTGCCTCTTCTGTTCTAAGCACAGGGTGATTCGAGGTTCAATGACAGGCAACCAGTCTTTGGTAAACATCTAACTTTTTCAACTCAATCAGATCTACGTTTCTGATAAAAATTCTCCAGTGAAACATGAGAATTAGATAAAGCATTTTGCATTGTGATGGCTTTTCAAAAATTAAACAAGGGCGCATGTTTGCAAGAATGCAAAAACAAGCCCTGCCTTGACAGTTAAAAAAAGTAACATACAAAACACTTTCCCTGATACTTCTCTTTCAAAAATGTACATGATAATCAATTGCATTGCAGTCAAGAGGACTCCATGAAGGTGGTTCTTCATTTCTAGCGGGGTAAGAAATACAAGTGGGCAGCTCGTGGGTGAATTTGGACTCTGTCCCTCCAGCCAAAGCTTCCCCTGGACTTGGCACGGGTGGAGGGAGTGAGACCCAGGTCTCTAGACAGGACTCTGGGGCTGCCACGACTCACCTCGACAACTTTTTCAGGCTCGCCGCGCCCCAGCGGCCGGCTCGCGGGCGCGGACGCGGTGGCCGGCGCCTCTGAGCTCCCTGGCCGGCCCCCGGGAAGGCGCCCGGGCCTGGGAGGCGCGCGGGGGCCTGCTCGGGATGGCGCTGCGGGGCTGACGCGGAGTGCACAAGCGGCGCTGGGGGCTCGGCGCGGCCGGTGCACAGGGTCAGCAGCACCAGCAGCAGCGTGACCAGCGCAAGCAGGAGCAGCGCAGCCGCCTTACTGCGGAACTTCATGGTGCGGCGCGGCAGCCCCCCGGCAGCGCGGCCAGTCTACGCATCGCGGCGCCCAGGGCGGCGGCGGCGGGGCGAGCTCGACAACTTGCTGCGGATGCCTCCCTCCGCCCGCCCGTCGGAGAGTGGGGCCTGGGCGGCTGGAGGGCCGGCGACCGGAGGAGGAGGAGGAGGAGGAGGAGGGGGGGGGAGCCGGGCTGGAGGAGTGGCCCGCGCGCGCCTACCGTACTGTGTGGAGTAGCCGCCCGCACGCCCACCCGACAGCCTCCAGGCGCTCGAGTTTCAGGTAGCGCGACCTCAAAACCTCTCCATTCACTCATTCATTCATTCATTCCCTCCCTCTCATCCCATTCCCTCATTTACTTCCTTATTCACTCACTCATTCTCTTGCCCTCCCATTACCATCCACTCTTCCATCTGATTCCCTCATTATTCCATGCATTTGCCCTGTTATTTAGTTCTACCCATCTATCCAAGCACTCATGCACCTATCCATGCATCCAATCAGGCAGAGACATCTCTGTCCTGTCTTCCCAATATAAGGCCCGACACTCTATGCATGTCTGTTGGATAACATCAATCCAGATCCATGTAGTCTAAAGTGTTTATAGAATGAATTTCAAAGTCTGGGTTTGAAATCTGACTCAGTCGCTTACTAGTTTGGTGATGCTTAGCAAGTTGCACAACTTTCCTGAACCTTAATTTCTTTACATGCAAAATGAGAATGATAATACTGCTCTCCACAGAGGCATTTTGTGGGCATTGAATTAAATAATGCATTCAAGGAAACTAGCACAATGCCTGGCTCACAAAAGGTGCCCAATTAGCACAGTAAAATGTAGATTATCATATGTACATAAATGCAAGTGTTATTTTCTTTCTGACATAGAGTTGGGATAGTAATAACTTCACAACCAAGTATAGGAATGGATTTTTCTGACACTTGAACTGCCACAATCACCAGATCAAAGTTCCAGAATCCCTCAACTGAAATTCTAGGGCAGGAGTGGGCAAACTTTTGAGATGGAAGAGCAGTCAGGGGTCAGCAAACTGCAGCTCCCGAGCCACATGCAGCTCTTTGAGTACCATACATGTGGCTCTGAAGTAAAATTGAAAATGAAAATAAAACTATCATAGTTTCATTTATAAAATTTTTAAAGGGTATTTTTCACGTAATGGTGATTATGTAAAAATATATTTATGGCTCTCAAATAATTTTTAAGTTGTTGTGAGGGACAGGATTGGCTCTTCCAGGGGTCAGCAAACTTTTGAGACAGAACATACCCAAAGAGCCGCATGTGGCTAGCGAGCCGCAGTTTGCCATCCCCTGTTCTAGGGAATCCCTAGTCACAAATCTGAAGCATTAGGACACATCTTATTATTATTCACCATAAATCAATAGCCAATATTCTTTTGGCATGGCAACAGAACAAAGAAAAGAACACCAGTTATAAAATGTCTGAGTTTCTACAAGATTCTGTGTTGCCCTATAAATCTTCTAAAATTCAGTTATATTCCCAGCTATTCTCATATTAGTATTATATTTTAATTATTTGAGAACTCATTGTACTTAAAGTTCTAGGAATGAGAATTTTTAAATACCTGGAATCCCTTGCCCATCCGGCACCTAGGAAATGGTAGAGGGCAAGCTCAAAGTGTGGGTGGCAGATGTTGCAGGTGAGGAAGCTCAAACAATCTATTGGTTCTCGACCAGGGTGAGGTACCTTCCCACTAGGAAGCATCTAGGATTGTGGGAAGAATGTTTTGGGTTGTCACAATGACTGGTAGGTGCTACGGGTATATGTTTAACCTTCTACAATGCTCAGGACATTCTAGCATGACAAAAAATTGTCCTGGGCCAAATACCAATATGGGGGGCCTGTTGAGAAACATTGGGCTGGGCAAAGGCCTTTCAGGTTTAGAAATGACCACTATTATGTTGGCATGTGGCCCAATGAAGTAAGAATTCCCAGGCTCTGACTTGCTACTTCCTCTCTTCCTCAAGGAGATATATGCAACAAGGATAAAATAAGGCAATGTAACACTTTATTATCTGGGGTTTTGGCCTCAAACACAAAAGTAGAACTTGGAACAGCTAGTCATGACCAAACAGAAGACTTTGTTTTCTTAAACCCTGCTGAAGCAAAAGGAAAAGCCTGATTTACCTTCTTCCTCTGAGTCCAAACTCAAGTTTTGGACTTTACTGCTCTGATTGGTGGAAAAGTACAACCTCTAATGCCATGGAAAAAAGAGTTGCAGATACCACATTCATGGCTCACCCAGTTTCTCACTTGAATGTATAATATACCAAATGCTTGTTCATTGCTCTCCTTACCTCAGAAATCTATTTGTCCCTCTGGAATTTTGACATATCTAGATACTAAGTTGCTTAAGCCAGAAATCATGTAGGAACCAACTTTGGTTTCTCTGTTTCTCTCACCTCCTGTATTAGTTATCTATTGTTGTGTAACAAACTACCCCACAATTAGGTGACTTAAGATAACACACATAGAATCTCATTGTTTCTGTGGGTCAAGAATCCAGCACAACTTTTCTGGGTCCTCTGCTTCACAGGCTGTCAGCTTCACAGGCTGACACAAGGCCACAACCAAAGTGTTGGCCCAGGTCTGTGGTATCATCTGAAGGCTCAACTGGGGAAGGGACCACTTCTAAGCTCACTCACATGGTGTTTGGAGGATCACGTTTCTTTCAGGTCATTGGACTGAAAGTCTCTTTTCCTTGCTGGCTATTGACCAGAGGCAGCCCTCAGTTTCTTGCCAGGTAATCCTCTCTATTGAGGTAAGCACACAATAAGAGCTGTGGAGAGAATGTCGGTAAGGTGGAAATAACAGTCCTTTATAACCTATTTTCAGAAGTGACATCGCATCACTTTGCCATGTGTTACATGTTAGAAGCAAGTCATTTAATTCAGTCCATGCTCAAGGAGAGAGAATTACAAAAGGGCATGAATATCAGAAGTCCAGGATTATTGGGAGCCATTTTAGAAGGCTGCTTCTCTCTCCTCACATAGCCAGAAGATCAATAACTTCTGTCAGCTTTACCTCCAGAACAAATTGGCATGTATCCACTTTGCTCCTGAATTCTCAATAACGATTGCTTGACAAGGACAAACCTTGCTCAATTCCTAATGGCCTTATTCCCATTATATTTCATGTAAATTTTCCCCACTCTTACTTCCACCCTTTACCACTCTGAGTTGTATGATGTGGCCTTCTATGACCTAGAAATGACAGCAATTACCTTCTAGTTGATCTCCTAGCTTTTTCCCATACCTTTTTTCAATCTTTAAACTAGAATGATTTTTTAAAATATAAATTGAATGCTATGTCTCCCTTGCTTACAACTCTTCAATAGTTCTTCAGGGCTCTTTAAACAAGCCTGAATTCCTTACCATGGCCTCACAATCTAGCATGATCTGGCTACGGACTGCAGCTCAAGCTGCATTCCTAGGGCTCACTCTAACCCTATTGGCTTCCCATCAGGGCCTCTAACATTCCTTTATTCCATTTTGCTTGCCTCAGTGCCTTTCCACTTCTGGTTCCTTTGACCTGATTCCAGACTCTGGAAGATACATTATGTTTTAGATCTCAACTTAAAGTCACCACCTTAGAAAGGTCTTCTTTAGCCACCCTTTTTAAGGAGATATCGCTCCTCCAAATATTCTCTACTATTTGCCCATTTGGTTTCCTGCACAACACTACTACAAATTATGTGTGTATACATACACACACACACACACACACACACACAAGTCAGACAATTAAGTTTTTGAACTCATCCTAGAAAAAGTGCTATTATACATGCCTCATTGCTGCATATCATTACGGTCACTTTCAAAGTACTCTGCTTGGGAAGCTATGCACTGATGCCAGCTCCTAGTCCACCCTTCAAAGCAATTTTGGAACTCTTTTTCTGAAGTGGCCATCAGGGCTGTTGTCATCATACCCTTGATGCCCTGAATGTCATCAAAATGTCTTCTTTTCAATGTTTTCTTTTTTTTCAGGTCAAGAAAGAAGTCATTGGGGACCAGATCAGGTGAGTAGGGAGGGTGTTCCAATACAGTTATTTGTTTACTGGCTAAAAACTCTCTCACAGACAGTGTTGTGTGAGCTGGTGCATTGTCGTGATGCAAGAGCCTTGAATTGTGGTGAAAAGTTCAGGTCATCTAAATTTTTCACGCAGCCTTTTCAGCACTTCCAAATGGTAAACTTGGTTAGCTGTTTGTCCAGTTGGTACAAATTCATAATGAATAATGCCTCTGGTGTCAAAAAAGGTTAACAACATGGTTGCAATGAGTTCGCAAACTTAATTGTCAGACCGTGTGTGTGTGTGTGTGTGTGTGTGTTTGTGTGTACACACAGATATGTATATAGGTGTATACATTCACATATGTGTGTGTGCATATATATATATATATATATTTATTTATTTAATTGAAATTACTTATAGACAGCAAGGTATAAAATTCTCAAGTATATTACTTGATATACTACAAAGATCAAGGTATAGAACATTTCCAGCATCTCAGAAGACTCCCTATGCCCCCTCTCCCAGTGGTTATATTCAAGAGTAACAACTACTCAAATTTCTATAATTATAGATTTATTTTGTCTGCTTTTTGAAACTTTATATAAATAGAACGGTACAATGTGTACTTCCATTCAATATTTTGTCTGTGAGATTAATTCATGTTTTTTCATTTATCAGGTTTATTTGTGAATACACACACACACACACACACGCACACGAGATCAGACAATTAAGTTTGAAAACTTGTTGCAATGCTGTTGCTAACCTTTTATTGATACCAAGGGATTTTTCATTATGAATTTGTACCACCTGGACAAGTAGTTAACCAAGTTTACTATTTGGAAGTGCTAAAAAGGTTATATGAAAAAGTTAGACAAAAATGACCTGAACTTTTTGCCAACAATTCATGGCTCTCACATGATGACAATGCACAAGCTCATATGGCACTCTCTGTGAGGGAGTTTTAGCCAGTAAACAAATAACTGTATTGGAACACCCTTCCTGCTCACCTGATCTGGTCCCCCAATGACTTCTTTCTTTACCTGAAGATAAAGGAAATATTGAAAGGAAGATATTTTGATGACCTTCAGGACATC